TATCTTCCAATAGATTGACATTGGCAATGGTTTACTTATAGAAAAGGACCAGCTCATAGCCATCACTCAGATAAGCGATGGGGCACGAGGCAAATTCAAAATTTGTTTGTTATTGTTTCCGATGCATGAAGTGGTAGGAAAATACAAGATAGGGAAGAAAAGCAAGGCACATGTGGAACATCGATAGAGAATAAGCGTTTGAATCCCATCTGAATTACTGCCATAACAGGTAGGTAATTTGTTAAATAAGTTTGTGTTTTACCTTTTAAATGAAAATACTGCAGGTTTATTTATTGTAATAAGATATTTATATTTCAAAAGATAAATGGTACATCAACATGTAATGTAAAGCTTTTTTATTTGGGTTAGACATTGATTGTTTTCTTTAAATTTTAATCTGAAAGTTTGCATTGTCCCTTTGTAACCAATAAATAACCATCAAAAGGGAGCCCGTCTTTATTACTGACTTAACCTACGAAGTAGCTACATCTTACTGTATATGTTCTGCATAGCACTTGAGGGAAGAAACTTTAATATTAGACAGTTAATGAAGAAAATATTTTGCTACAAGTAGAACACTTATACTGTATTAAAATTATACAGTATTTAGATTTTGTACAGATAACAAATAATATGAAATAATACTTTTATTGGACCACTACTTTTAAGGTATCTGCATTTTATTCTTTAGAGATTACCATAACTAATATTAGACATTGCACCGAAATTATTAAAATTCATCCTGCTCTTGGTGGTTGCCCGTTTATGAGTTTTCGATTTAGAAGCCTATAAGAGTATTCAATTTGTTTGCATTTTTTTTACCCCCAGATTTCCTGAGGCTTCAACTACTCTTTTGAGACAGTCTCTGCCAAACAGAATAAAAAAAATGAACAAGCCTAAAAATTGGGAATACCATGTATGCATTTTTGTTTTTAAATTTGTTATTAACTTTAATTCCAAACTTCGTTTTATTATTTTTTTGTAGTATTTATTTATATTTGACGTTTCAGTGTGTAGGTCGTCTTAAAGTTAGGTTCAGAAAAGTTTGGTTTTTTTTTTAAATTTTTTTTTTATGTTGTAGAACTGATTTTTTTTAAACCCAAAAAGAATATTTGATGAAAAAAAGCGGTTAATGAGATTCAGATTTTTTAATATTTAAAAACTGGGGGAAAAAGAGACGTAACCACCCTTTTTCCCTCCTTAGTTTTCCCCAGTTTTTAAATATTCAAAAATCTGTATCTCTCTCATTAACTGTTTCCAAGTTTTTTGTCAAATATACTTTGAGGCTTAGAAAGATTAGTTCTACAACATATCAACAGATTTATG